AGTACCTTTTTTTTTTTTTTTTTGTCTTGACCAACAAATTAGAAAAAGAAAGAGGGAATGCTCTTTTTTTAGTGACTTTAATTGCAAGAATTGTTGTCCCAAAAGGCCTACCCAATATACAAACAAACGGAGGGAGAAGCCTAGCAGTCGTAAAAGAGGGGCCAAGATTGTTAGATGAAAAAGAATGATCAAGATTAATGGTCGGGAAGGCGGCATATAAACGGAAGGCCATTGACAAAAAAAAGGAGGGCCTTTGGAGGTCTTTGGGTTTTAGGGTTTTCAAACAAACACGAACAACTCTTTTTATTTTGGCAACCAAAAAAAGCCGGAGAAAGAAGAATATAGAGGGGGTCTCGGGTTTTAGAATTTTGTGGGCTTTAGGGTTTTCAAAAACTAATATTTGGTTTTGATAGATCGAAAATTACAAAAAAAATTGACAAATAGCGATGAATTTTTTCATCTCTATATGTCAAAAATCCATCACTATAGACAAATTAGAGACAATATGGTTTTCATTACTAAAATGGTAGTCAATATTTCCTTAGTGACCAAATTTTTTTCGTTACTAATTAGCAATGGATTCGCTGTCGCTAATTTATTGAATCGCCATCGTAAATTTATTGAATCCCCGTCGCTAAATCGATCTAAAACAATCATCCGTAAGGTCTTATATCTTTCATCATACCATCACTATTTTCACTCACATTAATCACTAAATAGCATTAGAACTAGTGTTGCTAAATTATAGTAGCCAAAATCCTTGTAAATTTTATCGCTAAATTTGTTGCTATTTAGCGATTGTGTCCGTATCCGTCACTAAATATCCTTGCAATTCTATTTCTAAATGAATGATTTAAAAAAAAAAAATCAATAACCTTATATTGGTAATTGTAATAACAAACAACTATAAATAACATTTTATTAAAACACTATATATTATTTAATAAAATTAAAATTCTATAAATTAAAATAAAATAAATATAGAAATGAGTTAAGATGTATAAAAATAGTAAAAAAATAAAAAAAGAAAAAGAAAAAGAAAAAGGAATTTGGTCCTCATTATCATTATCTTCTGTTTCATTTTTTGACTAGTTGTTGAGAGGAATAGTTGACTCCTAGGTTATGGGAGAGTCGGCAAGAGGATCGCGAGGCTACCGTAGGTTCCGTAACAAACCCATAACTATCTCGCAATCGCATCCGTGTGGAGCTAACTTGATTAACCTATTGCTGGATGGCAACTTCCATCTCCTTGATTCTATCTTTGTACTGGGTAGAAGCCTTTTGAATATTACTACAAAGATATTACGAAGTGGCGGAGGAGGAACTACCGTCAAAATACGAGTAAGTCTAGACACATAAGTTCGATCCCGTACACTTTCCGGTTCTTCTCCCCTCCGAAAACATCTAAATATATCTTGGACATGTCGATATCTAAAGATGATAAATCACCTTTCTACCACTCCTTAGTAGCTACTTCTTGCATTGATTGCATGCACTCCTATGTTATTGAAATAATTACAAGATTAAATCATAAATATATTTTTTAGATTATATCTATAGATGTATATATATTTAAAAAAAATATATAAAATCTTACCATTGTTATCTATGACCGCTCGTTGACAAATATCTCATCTTTTCACTTATGAGTGATAACGAATAGCTCATAAGGATTTGAGTTATGACCTAATTTATTATGCTAAAAAAATAAAAAAAATAATATGAGATGAAATAAATATAAAAATTAATTTATAACATAATGGATAATATAGGATTTACCAAACGCTCAACGTGTTCGATCAAAGAGATGGACTCTCCAAGCATGCTTAGATGGGCTAGCATTGACACCACTTGTCTCGGACATTTGGTTTTAAGACACTTGTTGTGATCGGGCTTGATACTCGGGAGTGACCCATTCTCGACGTCATGCTTTCAACACCTCCTTTTAACAAACACATGTCTATTGCTTTTATGCTTCGGCTTGCAAAGCATATTTCCATACCATCTCCGTGCCGGACTCTCCCATGTATCCTTAATCGGTGCGTCGATGATCGCTTCTCATAAAAAGTACTTTTACACGAAGAAAAAAAATAATATTACTTTTATGTTAAATTAATACTTTAGATGAAATATAAATAAATAATTAATATATTACCCTAAACACATTAAAGTAAAAGTCTTTTTGTCTCCACGAAGATGAAGATAGATTTCCATGTGGAGCCGGATCCTTCCAATTGTTCTTTGAAAATTGCAATGATTTTTATAGAACACTTGGTTGATGGAATCAAATTGTCAAACAAAACAAATAAATAATAAATAAGTAAATTAATGGTTTCAATTTAATATATAAAAATATAAAACTAATTATCATATGTAAAACATATTACTTACCGATTATTCACGAGCCAAATGGTCCATCCATCATTAGATTCGAGTAGAGTTTCTTGGAGCCGAGGAAACCATAGTGCGATCAATCGTAGAGTGCAATACCAACGGAGGCATAAATGGTAGGGGAATAATTGGTGGGGGCACTACTCGGAGAGGATGCAAACTTGCTGACTCCACTACCAAGTTTGTACCCGGACACTTGTACTACCAGTGCCACATCCACGTACACTACCACTATCAATCATACGATTAATATCGGATCTACAACCATTGACACCGCGACCAAATCTGCTCAATCCAAGAGACATAAAATTGAATGTTTTGATTATCCGTGTTCTTTAATGAATTTAGATATATTTAACAATAATGTCGCTTTCATTTGAAAATTTTAGAGGTTCATCTTTTCCTCTTCTCTAGTCTTTTTTTTTTTTTTTTAATTCGACCTCCTTTAATTTTTTTTGTGATTTTCAAATTCTTATGGTATAATTTTTATTTTTACATTGATTTTGTTTAACAGGCATCACTTTCATCTAATGTGTCATTTTTATCTGACATGATAGTCTATTTATCACTTATTGTTGGAAAATTAAATGGAATCCTTATTAAAAAAAAAAAAAAGCTACATGAAGAAAATATGAGAGTAGAGGGACTTGAAAGTACATTCATAACATCTAAAAAGTTCAAGAATGAATCATGCAATTATTTCCAAGCTACACCATAGAAGAATATAATCAATTTAATTATCATTTTCGAAGCTGCCAAAAGGGTTAATTTAACTTTATATATGCACAAACAAGAGAAACTTTAAGAATGTCCACTTCACATCACTTTGATGAATTCAGAATAATTCAATAACATTCAAGTGACTCTACCTGAACAACTCCTTGGGGCTAAGGTAGACAAGAGTTAAAAAGCATCCATTGAACTTGTGGAAAATGATCAATTAGAGTCTCACATAGATCCCATCAACATCATATATCCACGGGCATCCTTCAATATCATTTCTTCTCAAGATTATCCCTCAAGACAATGGCTCTGTTATTTGTAGTTTCAGCTGTTCATGTAACAAGAGGTTTGTCGTCCACAATATGAGGTAGATATCTGCACAGATAGAGGGACAGGTTTTATTTATATTTTTGTATACGCTACCTAATATTTTGGATGAAGATTTATTATTTTGAATCTCGTTAGGTGTCACAGCCCAACTCCAGAAATTTATCTCAAACCGGAATCTGGTACAAAATTAGCAAATGATTCTAATCTGCGGGTAGAATGGCCTGAAAGGCAAGAGGAAGCTGGCAAAACGACTTGTCCTCTTTTGAGTCAGCCCACACGCAAAATCAAAAGAAAGAAACTAGCAGGATTTTAAAGGAAGCAGTCCTCTTTGAAAACTGTTTTTTTTTTTTTTTTTTTAACAAAGAAAAACCTATAATCAACAATTACTAGAAATAATTCATACACATATCCTATTTCTATTGAGATGAATTTTTGTAGACCCTGATGTCTAGTTGTCTATCCTACAGACTTCGTCTTTTCTTTTTTCGTTGAGATACCAGTACATTGCAATTGCCTTCGGATACTGAATTTAATAGCTCCACTCATCTCGTTCATGGCCACAATGTAGGTTGTTCAAAACACTAATGAGCAATTAATTAGAGGTCCATGATTAAATGAATACCTGTACAGACGCAACAACCATGTTGATGGATACAATGGAGTACAATACAAGACACAACAGCTATTTCATTCTGAGTTTTGGGTTCTACTTCTGTTGGTTGTAAGCCCAAATGGTCAAGTTAATAAGAGGTCCATGAGTTTAGTATTGAGTGTAGAATTTTGTTTTGAGCCAGCCCAATAATTCCCGAACCTAGGGAAGCAGATTGCTGGGTTGGCTCAAAATAAAATTCTACACTCGACTCCAAAAAATTTGCCTGACGTGGAAATGGAACTGCAGTACGCATGCACAAGCACAGGAGTTAGTGAGGTTCTCATGGTAAACACATTTCATAAGCAAATATATCTGAGGTTAAGATACACTTTTCATTAGCAGTAGCCCTGAGGATCATCATTAGAATGCATGGAGAGGCAATCAAATCCAAGAATGTTACTTAGATGGCTCCAGTGGCCCCAAGACACCTTCATTGTGGAAGAATTTTGGACGTATTCCTGAGAGGTGGTGTTGTAGTTACCACTCTAATTAACTATATCAGTGGTGTAGGTTTGTTCCCCTCGCCATATGAGTAGCATTTAGCATTTGTGATTGTATATTCGGACACAACCATGTAGAAGATCGTTCTGAATTATTCAGCTCCTTACAAACAAATTGCAACTGCAATCTATCCACATTCAACTCCTCACATTCCTTCCGATGGTTAGTATAGCGAGCCTTGTTCCGTCAGCCTTCTATTGTATCTCTGAGTAAAAGCATTTTGTTCCTCTCGCAGCATAAGTTCAAGGAAACTCCATCTTCTGCCTTTACCATCCTAGAGGCTTTCCAGTCTTCTATCCAAAACACTTGGAATCTCCACTCACATAGATCCTAGTTCTCCCTTGATTTCTGGAATCTCCACTCGAAATCTTATAAGAATTAAAAGTTTACGTCATTTCAGCGGTTACAAGACTTTACATGACCAGTAGTCCTTGCATGAGCATTTCCCGTCAACAAAATGATGGAATCTCTTTGAATCTCTCAAGATGACAGCCCTTCCCGTGATTTTAGATACAAACTTCATAAATGCATGGCAGTCACCACAAATGCGAATGTTCTTTATAATCCTTATAGGTGTTACACCATGAGGCTTTTTGATTAAACCATATGCAAGAGCAAGTTTTTCACTGTGGTAACTGATGGATTCGAGTTTCTCATCCTCCCCAACATCATGTAGAACCAAGTTTGTATTAGGACTAAAGCCTGCTTCCTGCAGTTTCCTTATTAATCTGTTGAGCTGTTCATAAATTATTTTTCCATCCGGATGAGTTCGATCATCTGCTACAAACTTATGGACTTCATTGTCAATCTCAATCCAACTGCAAGCAGCAAACTTTTTAACATTATTGGCTTTCATTAGAGATCTGATAGATGCAACATCTTTCCATCTTCCACAAGCAGCATACATGTTAGACAACATGATGTAAGGCACAGCATTAAGTGTATCCAATTCAAATAAGTGTCTTGCTGCCATCTCCCCATGTTTGACGTCACCCTTTGTCACACAAACTGCTAAAACAGTGGACCATATTAAGGAATTTGGTTCCTGGGACATACTACTGATTAGATCAACTGCTTTATCAATGTGTCCTGAACTTCCAAAGAGATTGACCATGCATGCATAATGATCCAAAGTAGGTTCCAGCCCATGTTGTTCTTTCATTGAAGCAAAATATCTCTTCCCTTCTTCAAACAAACCAGCATGGACACAAGCAGATAGAACACCCACAAATGTTACACTATCTGGTTTCAAATTTTCTTGCGACATATTCTCATAAAGTGACAAGGCCTCCAAATCCTGTCCATTTTGTGCATAACCCCCTATCATGGAATTCCAAGAAACCACATTACGAGTTGGCATCATACTGAAAACAATCCAAGCATCCCTAGTGACTCCACATTTGCAATACATATCAACAAGAGCACTAGACACAAGCAAATCATTATCAACTCCCATAAGAAATGCTTTTCCATGAACAACCTGACCATGATACAAAGAAGCCAATTTGGCACATGAGCTAACCACACTCGAGATGGTATAACTATCTGGCCTGACATTCTCAAACAACATCTCACTAAACAACACCAAAGCATCCTCTTGCTTTCCATTTTGTGCACAACCCACAATCATTGTTGTCCAACAAACTTTATCCTTCTCTCTAATCTCATCAAAGACCTTCCTTGCTTCACCAATATACCCACCTTGAATATATGCACCAAGAACACTTGAAACCGTAATCTGATCAGACTTCAAATTTGACACCTGCATTTCACAAAACAAATTGATGCATTTCTCAGGCTGCCCATTTTTTAAGTACCCAGAAATCATCAAATTCCATGTTACCACATTCTTATTCACCATTCTATCAAACAACCGCCCTGCCTGATCAATCGCACCGCACTTCGCATACAAATCGGTTAAAGCATTACAAACAAACACATTGCCTCCTAAATTACAAATAATAATCCTGCCATGAATCTGCTTTCCTCTCCTTAAATCCAACAATTGCGTACACGCATTTAAAACACTCACATGTGTATACTCTGTGGGCTTAAACCCTTCCTTTTGCATCCTCAAAAAAGTTCCCAGTGCCAGGCTTGCACACCCATTTCCTGCAAAACCTGAAATCACCGTATTATACGACACTGAATCACGAGAAGGCATGTTATAAAACATAACCCTTAAATCCTCGACTAACCCGGATTTTGCATACAAAGAAAGCATTGCATTCCACGAGAAAATATCCCTTTGGGTCATTTCATCGAACAGTTTCCGAGCACGAAAGGTTTTTCCTGATTTTACAAACAAGTGGAGAAGTCGATTATGAAGGAAAGTGTCATTAGGTTTAAACAAATGAAGGTCCATGTGAGATTGCAATCGGCTGGCTTGATCGAAATCGCTGGCTCGAAAGCATTGGAGCGCAAGGCGAGTGTAGCATTCATGACTTGCTGGGCCGTTAGCGTAAAGGGAGTCTATTGCTTGGCGAAGGTTGAGTTTGGGTTTCATATTTTTCGGTGGGGCATCGAATTTGAATTTCAGTTTCTTCTGTTAGGTGGGTCATATCCTGTATCGCTAGCTCCTGCATGGGTGGTGGTGGTGGTGGTGGTGGTGGTGGTGCAGCACGAGTACTGAAAAATACGGTGCCGTCCTGATTTTGATGTTATCCAATCCAACTTGGACCGGACCGGATGAGGGGGCTATGGCAACGTCCTATCACAATATAGAAAAATTGATTAAAAGATGCACAATTTCTTAATTGACAAAGATTTTTAATATTAAGATTAAAAAAAAAAAAAAAACGTAAAACATCCAATTTTCAATTGAAGAGAATAATTTGTTTAGGGATCAGAATGCATATCTTGGGAATGCGATTGCATTGATATTAGTTAGAGTTTAGGGACTATATTGAGACATTCTCATGACAAATTTTTGTTTACTTTCTTGACACCTAAACACCATGAACGCGGAGCCTGGACAATGATCACGCTGTTAAATTTTGATAGGATGATTGGAACTGCGAAAATTTGCTCGACTATGTTGTTGGGGAAGTGGACAATTAAGCATTCCTTGGAAATATTGTGATCTCTCGTTTGTGACCGTGACTAATACGTGCCATTGAAGTCTTTTAATTTCATCATCGATCTTCTTCCATTCCTGTTGGTGTGTTATCTTTAAAATTGGAGCTACCTTTCCTCCTAATCCTTTTGTTGGAAAGGATATGATTGCTCATTTGGAATCTGACTCTTAATGGTTCTTTTTCGACACTTTCAGCTTCTTTAAAACAAGATTTGGAAGTGGTAAGGATTCTGCTCAATGTTGTTCGTTGATTGCTTCCCGTATTTTTCTGTGGGTGACTTGGCTCCTTTGCTTTAAAATTTGTTTGTCCTTTAGGAGAGAAGCTTCTGCCATAGGCAATTCTTTCTTCAGCCTTTCTATGTTAGTTTCCCCAGACTCAATGATCATAGCCAGAAAGATGGTCAACCAAATCTTTACATCTTTCTCTGGAGCTGAGAAAGTCAGAATTCAAGTCATCGATCTTTACCATTTTGAAATTATTGGACTTTAGTTCAAAGAGGAATAGTTTGTTTGGCCCATGGATCTGTCGAGCGTCTTCACAAGAAATTAGCCTCTCTAAATGCTCCTCAAGTCAGAAACTTTTGCATGGCACGAGAGGGCTTTGGGATCTTGATTCAATAGCTCTAATATTCTTATGGTTGATTGTTTGATAAACGTTTTCTCTTTATCGATTGGAGCAGCTGCCTACTTCTGGTGTTCTTGGAGCTGGGACGTCAAAACACTTGGGTGGTTCTATCTTGGTAAATAAAGTTGCCAAGTCCAAATATAAAGGGAGTATACTTTAAGTTGAGTTGAGTATATTAACCTTTTCTAAATTTTACTTCATTTAAAAATCAATTCTTAAACTTTTAAAAGTTTTTGAACTTTATTTATTCATTTATTATTATTATAATTTTCAAGTATTACCTTCTCCTTTTAAAAATTTCGATTCCTTATATTTTAATTTGAAGTTTTACACATGTTAGAAAAAGTCTAATCCATATTCTAGAAAAATTCTAAAATTTTTCAAAAGGGGAGAATTATATTTGTTTTTTATTTTAACAATAAAAAAGTAGAAAATCAGAAAAATAACTTGGAATTATTTCAAAAATTTTTAAGAGTTTTATATAAATCTCACTCGCATAATTTTCATCATGAGACTATTTATGTAATTATTATTTGTTTGGAATAGTTGATAAAAAAAAAAAACTAAATAATGGACTAAATCATTTAAAAAAAATAAAGTTCAGAGAAATCAAAACACAAATTACAAGTTTAGAGACTGCTTTTCAAATTGACCAAAGTTTATGAGAGATTTAATCCTTTTACTCTTTGGTAAATAAAGAAGAAAAGTCAAGTTTTACTTCTATCCTCAAGGTTTAGAACTACAATGACATGTTTTGTTGCATTCTTTCTTAAATGCAGCCTTAAGAATGATAGGATTTATTGAAGTTTCTATCATTAGAGATCCTAGAATTACAGTTCCAAATTACTGACGTTGCATAGCATAACATAGCAATTGTTATTTAATCATTTCGTGTATACCTTACCGTTGTTTGTTGTTATAAAGAACATATCAATATTTCACACAAATAATAAAAATAAAAACTGTTACCATTGTATAAAGATGTTATTTATCAAATAATAGTTCTTATATTTAAATAAAAAATTGCTTTTTTTTCAAAAAAAAAAAAAAAAAAGATCTATTATACATTCTTTCGAATGCTACTCAAACGAAATCTTATATTGTCTGAGTATCCTACTTTTTTCAATCTTTGCATCCTTTGAAATTTGGATGCATTCCACACTATTTCCTTCATGCAAGCAAATATCGCTAAGAATAAAAAGTTGTGTCTTTGAAGAAGGTTTTGCCCACGAGAAATGTAATATTGTGACTACTTTTTCATTAAAATATTCTCAAAGAAAAAAATTAAATTCACCCTTCACTTTAAAGTTTAGATATCACTAGATGTTTGCCCCCACTATATTGAAGATTGAATAGTTTTTGCTGCGTTATAGATTTAATAAATCTATTGAAATCAAAGGTAAAAAAATATTCATCTAACTTTATGATTTTTCAATCAAAATTTTGCATTTGATTCATTATTTCTTATGCTTTTTAAAAGGTTTCCTTCTTAAAAAGAAAAACAATTTTTTTTTTTTATGGATGGCTTCTTAAATAAAAATTTATAATAATCTAAAATACAAGTTTCAATTTATCAAAAATCCTATATATATATATATATATATATATATAAGATTTTATTGAGAAAATGAAACAACAATTAATTATAAATAAATTACATAAAAAATTTAAGATTTAAAATAATGTTTTATAATACTTTTGAGAAGATGATTTTTTTTTTAAATGTGTATAATAGGTTTATCTACATATATTTTTAAAATAATAATAATAATTAATTTTTTTTAAAACAATTGCATAAAAACTCTATTTAAAAAGTATGGTACCGTCGGGTGTTGTTTTTTAAATATATTTTTTATTATTTTATTTGAGAAGAATTGATTTCAAAATATTCATTTTTTTTAAAAAAGTAAATATTAAGTGCTTTTTGTGTATATGCACAATCAATTTGTAACTAAAAAAACTTATAAAATTAATTTTGATATTTAATTATAATATAAATAATATAATAGCAATTTTATTATACATGTAGCGCTCAAACATTTGGTCAAGTAAATTGCATATAGTACAAAAAAAAACACACACACACACACACACAAAATCAATACACATGCATACAGATTCAAGCTAGTATTCAATGTAAAAGAAAAAAACAAATTGCTTAAAAAACAAATCCAAATCGAATAAGAATTTTTTTCTAGGAAAGTATAAACGCAAGTTTCAATCTATCGAAAATCCTAAAAAAATGTATAAATTTAATTATTTATTTTATAAGATTGTATCGAAAAAATAAAGCAACAATTAATTTTTTTGAAAATTGAATAAAAATTTTAAGATTTAAAATAAATTTTTATAATATTGATGAGAATATTAATTTTTAAAAGTATGTATATTAGGTTTATGTATATTAGATTTAAAAAAATAAGCATTTTTTTAAATAAAGTATAAAAGTGTCTCTAGACTACAACTTTAGACACAAAAATAAAATCAAGATATATATATATACTCAAAATAATAAATAATATTATAATAAAAAAAACTCTATTTAAAAACTATGGTACATCATGTATTGTTTTAAAATTTATTTAAGAGGAATTGAATTCAAAATATTAGTTTTAAAAAGTAAATATTAAGTGTTTTTTTGTGTACATGGACTATCAACTTGTAATTAAAAAAATAAGCAATTTTTTTTAAAGAAAGCATAAAAGTATCTTCGTACTACACCTTTGGATACAAAAATAAAATCACAATATTGTATTTATAAAATCATTTAGTTTCCTATATCTAATACAATTCTTTTTAATACACTCTTTTAATATAGGTTAGAATATTTATATGAACGAAATCAGCTGAAAATAATGATGAAAGAGATCCTTGAATTGCAAAGTAAATTATAAATTAATCTCTCTTGTTTCAAGAAATTAATTAATTATTCTTTTTACTTTAAAAAACAAATTATTTAATTCTTTTGACTATCGTTAACCACGATAATTTTTCTTAATTATAAAATATCTTCCTTTCTCATTAATGTTTTAATATTTTCAATTATTTTTTTTATTCCTTTTCTATATGTTTAAGAAAAAATTAAAATAAATTAAAAATTATGAAATAAAACTAAATAATAAGTTTTTGAAATCGTAGAATCTAGTTAATTTGTTTGTTGAAACAATAGGGACTAATTTATAATTTATTCTTGAATTACAATTGCTCTTCCCATGAAAAATAAAAAGGGAAAAAACAATGAATGACATGAGCATTAAATGCTCTATCTAAAGCAAAGGTTTTGACAAAGGAAATGACAAAAAATAAATAAATAAATAAATAAATAAGTGTTATAAAATAAATAAAAATAATATGAGAATTGAAGAAAATGATGACAAGAAAATAAAATCACTATAATGTGAATATAAGTGATAAGAATTTCAAAGTTTTTCTTATCTTTTTAGGAAACTTGTACACCAACTAATGAACAATCAAGCCTATTTATAGGCTTCAAAATTGAAGAGAGAATTGGAAGGGACTATGAATAATCAATTGCATCACCCTTTCAATTTCTCATATTGAATGATGAATTGAATCATATTAAGAATCATGAGTAGTTAGGATATGAAAAGTGGATGAACATGATGATGGACATTCATTATTTCATAACACTCCTCCTTGAATGTCCATTGTACAAGGAACATGCCTCGTTAAAATATTACTAGGAAAAAACTCAGTGGGAAAAAGAATCCTAGTAAAGGAAAAAGAGTACAATATTTCTTTTACACATTAATCCCTATTTTGGTCTCCTCTATTGAAGGCATTA